AATAGGTTTTACTACTAGAAATTCATTTTTGTAAATAATTATTACCAGCAATAAATTTTTGAGAAAATAACATTATTACCAGCAATGCATTATTACCAGCAATACATTTTTGAAAAAGAAAATATTACCAGCAATATATTTTTTTTTAAATATTACCAGCAAAACATTGAGATGGATATGCCGTAAAACAAACCAAACGAAACATTTACTGTTGTTTCTTTTTAAACTTATTCACAGATCTGTTGATGGTTCTTGAATGGACATTGAAAACGGAAGCCATAGTATGAATTTGGGTGGCATTACTGAAAGCCTGAATGATCTTTTTCCTCCAACCATTGCTCATTTGGGGAGATAGTGGCGCTGACACAAAACAATGTTAACCCGTTCTCTTTCTAACTGAATAACTCAAAGTGTTTTTCAGTGATTCTTACGAATTAACGATTAACAAGTGCTGCATGATTTGGACAATTTTGCTGCTACACCCATTATCTATCTATCTATCTATAGTGAGAGAGAGAGAGAAAGATATATATATATATATATATATATATATATATATATATATATATGTGTGTGTGTGTGTGTGTGTGTTTATCTTGTGCAGTTTATTTTCAGATAGATAATATATGTAAAGGAACAAAATGAATAAAAACACAAAAGAAAAAACTATTCTTAGCCAAACACGTTTCGTCCTCTGCGTGACTTTATCAAGGCAAATATACTTATTTTGGTGGGCGTGTTCATATACGAATAAAGGATGTCACTGGTTTATCAAAATTTTTAATTCATTTTAAGTTCTTCATATATATCTATATATATATATATATATATATATATATATATATATATATATATATATATATGTATAGGATTAATGTATACGGAATAAATTCCAATAACCAAAAAAATACTATTATCAGAAGAGTTCTCTATATTTATATCAGCAAATATAATTATTTATTCGAAAATTATAAATAAATATGTTATAAAATCACTACTAAAATAGGCCATTTTGTTTTTTTTTCTTTGAATATAATTTTCTTTGATATGTTGAATCTAACAACACCATACTTGATAAGACCCCTTTCCTTTTGAAAACAAAATGGCTATAAATAGTGATTTTATTTTTTTTATTATAATTTTGAATAAATAAATATATATATATTTATATATATATATGCCAGCTTGGAAACGATAAATTGTTAAGTTAAATTTTCTTTTTTTGTCTCTTTACACAAATTGTCCTTTCACATATATAATCTTATTTTTTTTATATATATATATATATATATATATATATATATATATATATATGTATGTGTGTGTGTGTGTGTGTGTGTGTGTGTGTGTGTGTGTGTGTGTGTGTGTGTTTATTTTTCCAAAATAATACATATATATATATATATATAGTCTAGTACTACTCGAGATTCTGGAGACAATCCAAAATAGGGTTTGTAATATAATCGCTCCTGACCTGGCATCTCGTCTTCATTGTCAATCCCACTGCCATTATGTGTTTTCCTTCTGTCTTTCCTGTAAATATTTTATGGTACCTCGATAGCACAATTTAAACGTATTACTAGACTGGCAAGTAGGTCTCGCTGTTTACTGTTGAAGTACCCTGATTTAACAGTAATCCTATTCGATGCAGGATTTCTGTTGAAAATGTGCGTTCCACCGTCTAGTGGGAATTTTTATTGGTATGGTAGTATTCGTACCTTGAGTGGGTGGATATTTGTGAGGTCCTCGTAACCAATGAAAATCAAACAAGAGAAAAATGTGAAAAAAATTTTCTTTCCTCCTCCATATCTCATTTTCTGATGAAGTTTAAATAAAACTTGAAATATGTTTTAATTTATGACCCGTTTAATGATCGGGCTAGTAGTCTTCTACCGCATTTTGGAAAAGTACTAGATGCTGTCATTAACTCTGAATTGGCTAAACAATTCATCTCGCAGAGATTTCTTTCAGGTAAGCTTATGGTTTTCGCTTCACTAGGATTTCTTTGGTAATAAAGAAAAGAATACTGAGCTGTTACGTGACATCTTTCCTTCTTTATGGCAGCGAATGTTGGACGAGTTCCTCAAAGATGAAAAAGATACTCGAGGCGACGGAGAAGTGGTGCTACAGAAGGATGCTGGACGGAGCGTGTGAGCAACGATGAAGTCTTAGAGAGGATGCAAACAAGGAGAAGGCTTATACTTAACATCAGGAAGAGGCAACTGAAATTTCTGCGATACATAATGAGGTAGGAGGGCCTGATGTGATAACGATTATTCATAAAGATATCTATCAAGCTTTAGATGAAGAATGGTGACGTTCGGGCTGTTGCTTTGGATATTTCATACCTCGAAGGCATTTGACAGGGTTTAACATGCCATTCCCGCCAAAATAACCGCCAGAATGGATTACCCACAATGCACCACTGTCCCATATATATAAATAGTAGAGAAGAAAATCCAACATTCCCGGCTTGACGATTGCGTCTAGCATAAAATAACCTGTCGCCTTTGAGTGCTGACTTCAATGTTCATTTATATATATATATATATATATATATATATATATATATATCATCCCAAAAACTTACCACATCATGAAAATACAGAAACTTTCAAATGATTTATTTTGACCAATAAGTCCCAGACACAAAAAATAGAAAAAGAATATTAACAGGAAAAGTGACGCCTGACCTAGAAATTCCATTATATATTAGACCATTAGCTTTTATAACTATATATATATATATATATATATATATATATATATATATATATATATATGTATGTATTAACTTTTAACTTTATATATATATATATATCAACATTAACTTTATAATCATATATATATATGTATAATTATAGTGAGTTATATTATGCTCAGTATTATTAAAAGTCGTCAGTGCATATATAAAAATTTAGAAATTTAACTGAATAATTTTTAAAAACAAAAAAAATAGGAATAATTTTGATAAATGTTATTTTTAATAAATATATATATATATATATATATATATATATATATATATATAAATAATGTTGATAAATATTTATCGAAAAAACAACGTTTCCTGTAATTAAAATGTCGGAATAAAAAAATAAAAATATATATATATATATATATATATATATATATATATATATATATATATATTAACTAATAGCAATTTACAAAGAATAAAACCATTTATTTTTAGTCCAAAATTTTAATTACAGGAAACGTTTTTTGGTCGATAAAAATCTTTTTTGAAAAAATTTTTTTGGTGACTTTTGGGGGTTCAATTTTAAATTTTTAAAGGGTACAAAAGAAAACATTTCTCTATCGGTTATCATTCTCGAAAAAACATTATTGAAGCATGGAAAGAACATTTTCTTTCTTGAGTTTTCTCAAAAATATAATTATAGATATATATATATATATATTTATCAGGTCATCCCATAAGTTCTGTCCGAATTTTGAATAAAGAAAACAAGTCACCAAATGTTACATTTAATTACAGATTCAATCAACAATGTATTTTCCCTGATTATCTATGACTTCCTTCCATCTATTAACAAGCTTACTAATTCCATTACTGTAAAAAAATCTTTTGGCTTTGATTCGAAGAACTCACAAATGTCAGTTTTAACCTCTTCCTGTGTTACAAAAGCTGTTTCTTCAAAATGATTCTGTAAGCTACGAAACAAATGGTAGTCTGAAGGAGCAAGATCGGGAGAATAAGGTGGATGAGGAATTTTCTCCCAACCAAGTTCTTCGATCTTTTGTGACGTGATTCTTGCTGTGTGTGGTCGCGCATTGTCCTGATGAAACATCACCCCTTTTCGATTCACTAGAGCAGGTCTTTTTTTCCTCAAAGCTTGGTTCAAACGCTCTAATTGCTGACAGTATATTTGAGCATTAATTGTTGCATTAGGTGGTAAGAATTCAAAGTGGATTATTCCTTGGCGATCCCACCAGATTGAAAGAAGAACCTTTTGCCCATGAAGTTCCCTTCTCGGCTGTGGCTGGGGTCCTTCCCTTTACCAAGCCACTGTCTACGACGCTTAACATTTCGATAAAAGATCCATTTTTTTCGTCGCCAGTCTACAAAAAGGTGAAACAAGTTGGCGAGAATGGAGAGAAGAGCAGATGTCAACTCAGGATTTGAGGTTGTTTTCAGACAATTCATGAGGCACCCATTTTCCAAGTTTAGGAACTTTTCAAGTTGTTGAAGATGACGATGAACAGTTGTATGGTTTGAACTGAGAACCACTGCCAATTCCTCAACTGATAAAGCAGGATTTTCTTCAAGGGCTGCTTCAAGAAGCTTTTCATCAAACTCAACTGGATGTCCGGTTCAATCTTCATCTTCAAGGGTGAAATCTCCACCTCTGAATTTTGCAAACCATCTTCTGCAAGTTCTTTCATTCACATTCCTCTCCATAAACTGAGTGAATGTTTCTAGTCGCTTCGGCTGCTGAGTTTCCTTTCTTGAACACATAAAGCATTATGTGCCTCAAATGATTCTTGGGTACTTCCATGTTAGCAGGGTTTTAATCAAACAAAATTTAATTTCATTGTTCTCTGAAATAAAATTTGATCAGTTTAAATGCATCTAAAACATAAAAATAATGTTCAGCTCCATTAGACATTATAAAATACTCTTTAAATTTCGTTCATTTTAAAAAAAAAAAAAAGGTAAAATTCGGGATGAACTGATAGAAATAAAATGGGGCGTCTATTTCAAGCACGGTTATCCACTAACTTTAACGTCAGAAGTAATAACTATATATATATATATATATATATATATATATATATATATTAACATCTACGTCGTGTTTGTTTGTTACATTACGTCTTTCAATGTTTATTAGTTACTTAAAAGGAATCGAACGTCACTTCTTAAAAAAATTCCATTATTTGAGTAAGCTCTTCGAATTAATTATAGACTTGTTTAGGAATTTCTTGAATGGACAGGCATGAACGCATTCCACCTCGGACAGCTCATTTTATTTTGTTTATTTCGCAAGATATGAATATATCTGTAAGTTAATTTTGACATAGATAGATAGATAGAGAGATAGAGATAGATAGATAGATAGATAGATAGATAGAGAGAGAGAGAGAGAGAGAGAGATAGGGAGAGAGGGAGAGAGATAGAGAGATAGAGATAGATGTGGGACAAGAACGAACACGTTAATCAGTGGACAATAGCCAATGTAGATAGATATTTGCAATTGCAAATCTATATTAATAGATTATCTTTCGCTCAATTAGTTTGAAATATTGGCACAGCAGGAATATATTAACTGCCTTCTTTGCAAGTTAGCATTCGAAATTCTTACTTAAATAGAACTAAACAAAAAATAAATGTAACGCAAAAATTGGAGCCGATGACCAAACACACCTTAGCTCATCTTCAAAAAAGACTACATTTCAATCCAGATCGTTTCCATGTTGTTTCGAACTTCAGGTTGGTAAATATCTATTCATTTCTTATTTTTGAAGAACGATAGTCATATTGAGAAAATTCTAAATATTCCATGAAAAAAAAGTCTCGTTATTTTTTTTTTTTAATCAGTATCACCCCATGTAAGGCACTAACACACAAGGGGTTACTGGGTGTGGAAGAATTAGGAACAGAAACGTTAATAATGAACAGGAAGAGAAAAGAGCAACCATAGTAGATAGCCATTGACATTGCATTTAAATTTTTACAGATTAAAGCCTGGCACAAGATCACAAAAATAGGGTACCTTGTTACGACCGAATTCAGTATAACTATAATAATTTCCTTTTTTTCTTTTTTTTTTTTAATTGTTATCACCCAATGCAAGGCAGTAAAGCCACTAAGACACATGGGGTTACAACGTGTGGAAGAATTAGGAACAGAAACATCAATAACAAACAGGAAGAGAAAAGATCAACCAGGCGGATAGTAGATAGCCATTGACATTGCATCTAAATTTTTGCAGATTAAAGTTGTCTGGTAAGTATGGAGTCGGAAGGCAGTTCCACAAGCGAGAACCATTTGTCTGGTAAACGGTTATCACTAACATTACAAGGGGAATTATATGCCTATATTTTTTGTTTGTTTGTTCCCCATAACTATTTTTCTTGTTGTAGTTTCATAACCGGAAATTTTCGATCGAACAAAAAAGTTATTTATTTCAACCTGACTAAATTTTTTTTCAAAAAAGATCAATTCTATTTCATCTGTATATTAATCAGGTAAGGCTTTCAACTATTTTAAAATATGCAATAAACCTGTTTCAGTAAATTTAAAATATTCAACCCCTGTGCATAAAGTTGAAAGAATCATGGATCACTAAAAGACAATTTTCGTTCATTTCTCAGTGAAAGATTTCTAAAAAATACTGCTTCTCCTATGAGATACGTTTGTATTTGAATGCGTTAGTTTCAGAAAATTCAGCTTCTTGTGGCGAAAATGACGTGTATTTATTCCTTTTGGCGATTAGTTGTCAAACGTATAATAGGGCCAAAAAGTAAAAAGAAAAAAGATTAATTTTGGTGTTTCTCTTTAAATAGTGAAATAGTATTTAAAAAAAAAAACGGGCTTTTTAAGTTGACGATTTTCGTTAAGAAAAACATACACACAATCTATACACCCAATTAAAAAGCAAAAATAAAATCATCGTTGATAATGGCTAAAAGGTATCGCTTAAAACACTCGGAATTACAGAACATTTGGACAGTTTCTACACTTTGTCCCAAAAAAACACCTGTTCGAACACAAGAAAAATTAAATAAAAAGCTTAATCGTAGTATTTTGCTTCTCTTCTTAATGAAACATGTATAAATGAAGGTTTTTTGCCTATATACACAATATATATATATATATATATATATATATATATATATATATATATATATATATATATAGTACAGGTAATAAATCCGTTGGTATATAATGCAAGTCGGTCCTAGTAATATCAAACATTAAAACTGATCCCCCAAAAAGAGTTCAATGTATTTATTATAACAGAGCATAGGAATTACCCACCAAAATCAAAAATTACCTAATATGGCGGGGGGTATAGATCCATTTCAACTGACGAACTCTGCATCAGTCTTATTCAACCCCGGTGTATAGACTGTGTTCGTGTCGGAATTAGAAATTTAATATTGACTGCCTTCGAAAAATTGATACAGAATTTATCCATTTCAGTGTTTCAGTCAGACGAAAGGCATGAGTTGTGGTTAGAGAAGGGCGGTAGGTATTAGCCCTAAAGTGAAGAGGTACTATAAAATTAACCTTATGACATTAAATTATATTATATCAAGAATGAAGTGTTAATATTGAAACTAAAAAAGAGGGCTGAAAGGGGAGTTTAATAAAAATATATATATATATATATATATATATATATATATATAATAGAATAAATATATATATATATATATATATATATATATATATATATGTTCCTATTTTTAAAAAATAATAAAATACACGAAGAAAGAGATATAATAAAAAAGATTAAAAATAAGTCATATTTAGATAAATTGTATTAAATTTAAGTAAAGACCCCAGTGTTCGTCAGTTGAAATAGATCTACTCCCCCCATATAAGGTAATTTGGGATTTTGTTGTGTTATATATATATTGCATTTAGGAAACGGCATGAATTAAATAAAAGTAGGAGCACTTTTTTCGAATTTTAACAAACGGAGTCTTTATATAGACTGCATGGAGGGGGGCGGTCTCTTAAATCAAAAAGGATTCATTAGCCTGCTACCACCATTTATTCAACAAACAAGAGTAAATGATGGGCATAATGGTTCGGCTTTATTTTTTATTCTTGCTGACAAAATTGCTTTCATTAAGTGGTTTGGTCTTTTTTTACGGTTTACCAACACTTTTTTAATAACGGAACATTTTTGATTGAAACGATAATTCGATTTTTGTTTTTTGGCGAGTAAATATTTCATTAACTTTTTTTGAGAGGAGCAATGGCTTTTCCAGATTCACTTCCTACTATTTAACCTTTAGTCAGGAGGGTAAATGGATTCATACCTTTCTCAAGAGTATTTGCGTGTAAGTGAATGTAATGAACAAGACTGGAATTGGTCTCTCCGATTTCTCAATCATTTAGAATGTTTCATTACACCAACCATGCTGGCAAGCACACACACAGACACGAAACACACATTTTTTTAAAACACACACACACACACACACACACACACACATATATATATATATATATATATATATATATATATATATATATATATATATATATATATATATATATATAAAAAAGATTACTTAACTTTTTACATATCAATTTTATCCCGTCCTTTATCAAGTCTTCAGGAGGTTCTGGTTTTAAACGATATTTCCATTTTAATTATTTTCAAAAATTTTACCAGAAACTTCGAAGTCGGGCTAAAATTGATATTTAAAAGTTAACATTTATATATTACATTATTAACACTCTATTTTTGACGCATTTCCTGCCGTAAGCCTCATTTGGGGATCTGTTAAAATTAAACTCACTACATGTTATTCCTTGTATTTACATTGAATTGTTTACATACATTGCATTTCAAGAGGTATATTTTACAACACAGCCTTTAAAGTTTTTATTATTAGCCATAAGAAGACACATTCTGTCGTAATTTTACATTTCACGAGTAGAAAATTGAGGACTATTTTTAAAATTATTTTTTTATTATTTCTAATCAATATTTTTTTGATGTTTTATACACATATATATTTGATGTTCTAGTTTCTATAAAAATGACAATGGTAACTACTGAAATTAAACAAAAAGGAATAAATAAACTCCTAAGACACCTGTCAAAAAATAAAAATGACGCATGGAAAAAAAATATTTGGCAGTTAATGGGTTAATGTTATTTGAATATTTTTAATATCGGGCACTATATATAAAAATATCTGCTGTTTCTTAAATATTTAATTTATATATATATATATATATATATATATATATATATATATATATGTATGTGTGTGTGTGTGTGTAAATATTGTGTGTGTATATATATATATATATATATATATATATATATATATATATATATATATATATAATGAATAAATACAACGTTCCGCAGATTTATTACAGGTTATACACACACACACACACACACACACACACACACACACACACATATATATATATATATATTAATGTATATTTAAGCAGCAGCCTTTCTTTTCAAAATGTTTCGCTGAATATGACACAACGAAAATTTAATTACTTTTTTATTTAGTTTTTCCAGTATTCTTATATTTTTCTGTTTGGTAGGAGAAAAAAAAATGTCCATATTATCCCAAGCGCTTTCGACCACTTCATTTGCCATTTTCCAGGAAGTTTGTTTTTAGTTGTTATTACTTTCTCTTCATGTTTGACTGTTTAAGATGCACTTTTGTATAGTTTTAAATGCATGTTAAAAATAAAACTTTCAACAACCCATTCCCACTATTAAATGAGATGAGGTTGATAGTGGCAGTGAGATGTTTTATACGCAGCGTTTCACAGCGAAAGAAAGACGCCCACTGAAACCCGTTCTTTCTGAAACCTGTTTTTTTTTTTTTTTATTTTCCTTTCATCTCAGTGATGTCTTCTGACTCTCTTCCTGTCCCATTGACCTCTTGCATCATAGTGGCACTGTCGTTTTGATTGGGGTGAAATTGTTAAAGAAATGGTTACTCACTGCTTCCTTCTGCATCTCTCTTTTTCTTTTTTTTTTCTTTTTTTTTTTAATGACTTCACCCCAAGCAAGACGGGAATGCCACTAGTACACAGGAGGTTACAGGGAGTTAAAGTGAAAGAAAATCTGAGTAAAGGGAGAATTGAGGAAATGATACAAGATGAACAGAATAGAAGAAGATAGAAGATGGTGACTGACGTCGCATTTAAATTTTTGAAGATTGTAGTTATCAGGGAAGCAAGTAAACGAAAGGGAGTTACACAGGCGGGAAGTGAGAGAAAAGAAATTGTTGGGGTAGAAGTGGCGGTTAAATTTAACTAATTCAACAGTAAAAAGGTGGGACCAAGATGCCAATCTAGTAGCACGCTTAAATTCATGTCGTCAATGCACCAAAGAATTGTCTTTAATATGTCTTGTGAGTGTCGAATTCTCCATGCCTTATTTCTTCATTATGTATCTTAGAAATATCAACTATCTCTTTCTGATTTTAATATGAATGCCCTTGTTGCTTGCGTTATCCTTAGAATATTCCGTACATAGAAATTAAAATAATCAGTATCTGTCTATATTTCTGAGATGAGGTATTATGTATATTATTTACATTATTCGGACTATTGTCCTCATCTTTATCGCCATATTTATTACAACGTT